GGGTCGCAGCGTGGCGGCGGCGGCGGCGGTGATGGTCGTAGTTGGGGCCCCGCAACCTCAAAATCCCCGCGGCGCAAAGCAGAATCCACTGGAGCGACTAATTGCGACGGCATCGAGCTGCGAAGCTGCCGAGGTCGCTCTCCACGCTGGGCCTTCAGTGGCTTGCACGCGCCGCTTAGTCCTGACGCTGGAAGCCGTGATGGCGCTGGTGGGGTTGTCTTCCAGCAGCGAAGACGGGGGATGCGTCACGGACGCGCTGGAGGTGTTGTCGTGGCTGCGGCCCCGTTCACCGCCGGCTCCGCTTTTCCACCAAGTGCTCGTCATGGCACCGGGCACCCGCGGTACGTCGCCGTGGCCGGCGCTGACGCGTGCGCGGAGGGACGGCGTGGATGAGGCCTGCGCTCTCGCCCGCGTTCTCGCTGACGCAGTACCGAACCCGGCGCAGGCCGGCCGGGTCGCCGTATTTTTCTGGGACGACGATGCTGATGGAGACGCCGCGGGGCAGTGCACAGAGACGACAGCGCGCCACGCCCTCCTGCTGCGCCACGGCGTGAAGACTTTGTCGCGGCGACGGGCGCAGGTGCAGCGCGCCAAGGCGGACGTTATGCAAATTCTACGAGCCCCCGCTACAGTCGTGTAGCCACACTGCACGGCGCCCGCGGGATCAGAAGAGAGCATCTGTGAAATATTATTCTGAGAGGCGTGCCGTCGCCAGCCCCCCGCCGCACGCTTCGCGCGAGGTGTGAGCGGATGCGGCACCTCCCTGCAGTCCGCCTCCGCCCGCCACGTTCAAACCCCTCATTATTATTATTATTTTTTTTTTCGCACCTGTTGCGGGCCCGTTTATGCGGCGCGGGGCACCTCCCATTGTTTTTGGCATGCTGTGTGTTGCCTTCTCACCCACCACTTGTTTTTTTTCTTTGCTCGGTTGTCGCTCCCAAGCACACTACAAACCGTTGCGCGGCAGAAGAAGAGGGAGCCGTTAGCCTCCCAGCGATGAGGTCGCCGCGGCCGCTTTGGCCAAACGGGGGGCGGTGGGGCGCCGCAGGGCGGCCGGGCTGCCCGCCGTGGATGAGGTGCGGCGCTTCCGCCTGCTTGTGTGCCGCCTGCTCTGCGGCGTTTGCGCCTCCCTCGCCGACGCCTTTGGCCTGCCACCGACGCAGTTCTTGGAGCGCCTGCGCCTCGGC